ATACTGTATATTGAGTACCAGTAGAGTTAATTTGCACAATACCCATAATGCATTGTGTCAAAGTCAATACAATGGCATATGACTTTTTCATACTGTATATTGAGTACCAGTAGTTAATTTGCACAATACCCATAATGCATTGTGTCAAAGTCAATACAATGGCATGTGGCTTTTTCATACTGTATATTGAGTACCAGTAGTTAATTTGCACAATACCCATAATGCATTGTGTCAAAGTCAATACAATGGCATGTGGCTTTTTCATACTGTATATTGAGTACCAGTAGTTAATTTGCACAATACCCATAATGCATTGTGTCAAAGTCAATACAATGCCATGTGGTTTTTCATACTGTATATTGAGTACAAGTAGAGTTAATTTGCACAATACCCATAATGCATTGTGTCAAAGTCAATACAATGGCATGTGGCTTTTTCATACTGTATATTGAGTACCAGTAGAGTTAATTTGCACAATACCCACAATGCATTGTGTCAAAGTCAATACAATGGCATGTGGCTTTTTCATACTGTATATTGAGTACCAGTAGAGTTAATTTGCACAATACCCATAATGCATTGTGTCAAAGTCAATACAATGGCATGTGGCTTTTTCATACTGTATATTGAGTACCAGTAGAGTTAATTTGCACAATACCCATAATGCATTTTATCTGTTACCCATCATTTACAACTGGAGCAATTACATTACCTGGTCTCTCTGAAATTTTGTCTTGTGTTTTTGAGATTTCCTGAGTTGTCTTCTTCCAGTGTCACCTTTCTCACCATAAAGTGTCATGTAGATCTCAGTATCTGTGCTAGCAGCACCTTTATCACCGGTATGGACACCTACTTCATACATGTATACTGTGACAAAAACATTGTACTTTTATATTGTTGAAACTGAACTAAGACAACTAATCAGCAAATGAGACATGCAAAAATCACATTCAGACATAATCATTAACATAAAGTCAAGCCTGTCCATTTTAAAACTCACCAGGAGGGGGTGGAATATCAGGTCTAATGGCTGGTAATTCCACCAAAACATCAGGTTCTATTTTATTATCTTCATCTCCTTCATCCTGCACATTTTTGTCAAGATTATTACCATTGGATTTATCACTTTTCATCTCATCCCTTCTTTCTGATGACATTTCTTCATCACCCTCCTTATCAGGTATTAGATCTTCAGGGTGCCTCAACCAACGATTTGCAAAAAAGTGGAATTCTTGGTTTGTGTCTTTGTCTTTCATTTTAACCTGACAAAAAAAAAAATCATCTTTTTAATCTTTGGAAGATTAGTTTTCTGCCAAAGTGTTGGTACACATACTTCAATGGGACGCCTTTATAACTTTTTTTATTTGTGGTTACCTTCTCTAAGTACCAAGATGGATCTTCACCACTGTTGTCATGGTAAACCCTTATTTTGTAAAGTGGTCCAATTTCCCCAACATCAATCTACAATAGAGCAGAGAAGATTAATACATAACAATAATTACAAATTACGTTCTGAACCACAATAAAACAAAAATTAATAGTGGTTATTCTTGATGACATTTAAAAACATAACATTAGCAAGCATTAACAATCGCTGTAGTCATGTGTAAGTGTCTACCAAAGAGCTATTAAATGCATTATCTTTATGCCAATTTTAATGCAGTATGACTTGGAAGTGCATAGACTGATAAAATTTGGTAATATAATCACTCAATATGACTATCATGGATACCATAAAACACCATAGCGGGTGGGTGTATCATTACACAGATAACAGCATAATAAGGAAAGATGGACTAAAAAAGTAAGAAAGATCACAGCATAGGGATGGGATCAATCATAGCCTCAGGTGAGGAGATCACTGCATAGAGTGGAGAGGTCACTGCATAGAGTGGAGAGATCCCTGCATAGAGTGGAGAGATCACTGCATAGAGTGGAGAGATCACTGCATAGAGTGGAGAGATCACTGCATAGAGTGGAGAGATCACTGCATAGAGTGGAGAGATCACTGCATAGAGTGGAGAGATCACTGAATAGAGTGGAGAGATCACTGCATAGAGTGGAGAGATCACTGCATAGAGTGGAGAGGTCACAGCATAGAGTGGAGAGATCACTGCATAGAGTGGAGAGATCACTGCATAGAGTGGAGAGATCACTGCATAGAGTGGAGAGATCACTGCATAGAGTGGAGAGATCACTGCATAGAGTGGAGAGATCACTGCATAGAGTGGAGAGATCACTGCATAGAGTGGAGAGATCACTGCATAGAGTGGAGAGATCACAGCATAGAGTGGAGAGATCACTGCATAGAGTGGAGAGATCACTGAATAGAGTGGAGAGATCACTGCATAGAGTGGAGAGATCACTGCATAGAGTGGAGAGATCACTGCATAGAGTGGAGAGATCACTGAATAGAGTGGAGAGATCACTGCATAGAGTGGAGAGATCACTGCATAGAGTGGAGAGATCACTGCATAGAGTGGAGAGATCACTGCATAGAGTGGAGAGATCACTGCATAGAGTGGAGAGGTCACATGCATAGAG